CCCCAAAGTAAAAGTGCTGTATGCACAGTAGCCAAGGTGACAGAGTGATGATGCCCTGACTTGGGGCTTGGAGGTGGAACTGTAACTCTCTCTCATTTTTCTTGGCTCTAAACTGTTCCACTTAAAGATCTGTGTGTAGGCACTTCTTGCTTGATAGGTCTCAAAACATCCTAGGTCAAAACAGCCCAAAAGATCAACTCAAGAATAGTCAAGTCTGGAGCTAGGGAGATCAGATGGGCTCGGTGGTTAAGAGCACTGGCTGCTCTTCCAGAGGGTCAGGGTTCAGTTCCCAGCACCCACATGGCAGCTCACAACCATCTGTAACCCCAGTCCCAGGGGATTCGATGCCAATCACTGTACACACAAGGTGCACAGACATACATTCAGGGAAACACTTATACACATAAAATAAAAATAAATAAAATCTCGGGGCTGGAGAGATGGCTCAGAGGTTAAGAGCACTGACTGCTCTTCCAGGGGTCCTGGGTTCAATTCCCAGCAACCACATTATGGCTCACAACCATTTACAATTCAATCTGGTGCCCTCTTCCAGCATGTAGGCAGAATACTGTATATGTAATAAATAAATCTTAAAATAAATAAATAAAATCTCAATCCAGGCATTGGTGGCACACGCCTTTAGTCCCAGCACTCGGGAGGCAGAGGTGGGCGGATCTCTGTGAGTTCAAAGCCATCCTGGTCTACAGAGCGAGTTCCAGGACAGCCTCCAAAACAATACAGAGAAACCCTGTCTCGAAAAAAACAAAAATAAATAAATAAATGAAAATAAAATAAAATCTCAAAAAAATAGAATAGTAAAGCTTGGGGTTATCAAGATGCGTTAGCAGGTGAAGCATTTGTTACTGAGTTCAATCTCCAAAACCCACAGGGTGGAAAGAAAACTGCTTCCGGCATATGGTTCTCAGACCGCCATACTCGGGTACCCACTCATAGAAATAAGTACATACATGTAATTTTTTAGATAGGACAAAATAAGGACAGAACAAAACAGGGCAAGAGAGATGGCTCAGCACTTAAGAGCACTGGCTGCTCTTCCAGAGGTCCTGAGTTCAATTCCCAGCAACCACATGGTGGCTCACAACCATCTGTAACAAGATCTGATGCCCTCTTCTGTCAAAAGGTGTACATGCTGATAGAGCACTGTAGACATAAATAAATAAAACTTTAAAAATAAAAAAATATTCAATCGATTGGATGATTCCCCAGGATGGATCAGAATAGCTCTTTAGAGTTAAAGAAACCCTCTTTGGAGCAGTAAATGAAGGATCTCAGTACCAAGGTCACCAAGGTCACATACCCAGATCCACTTCCCATGTCTGCAACTGTCTGTAGACAGACAACCTCAAGATGTGCCAATAGCAGCCCACAGAATACCTCTCTGGCCTCTGCACTGTTGGGCAGCCTGCCTGTCATACCTCTCTGGCCTCTGCACTGTTGGGCGGCCTGCCTGTCATACCTCTCTGACCTGCCTGTCATCCTCCATGACACTTCACCCTCAGCCCTACCAAAACTGTAATATGCCCTTTTCTCCATCACAGGGCTCCATGGCTCCTTACCCCTCCCCACATTTTCAAAAGAGGAGAAGGAGGTCTCTCCATAGCCATGCTGGGGAGCCAGTCTTGAAATCCTGGATTGTTTGGCCGGCTTCCTTCCCAAAATGATGGGCATCAATGCCCTTGCTTCTAGTGCACGCTGGGGTCTCAAGTGCTAACCACCTGTGTTTATCTGTCATTCACTATGCCAATCAATACACATCTAAGAACCCATCATGCACCAGGTGCCAATTAGCAGAAGGGAATCATATTGCATGGGAATCAAGATTCACTAGCCTCAGTACAGGTAAAGTGAAGTTTATTCGGGGAGAATGCACTTACACAAGAAGTGGGTGACCCCCCCCCAGGTTCCCCCTTTAAGGATTCACCCAAGCAGCCCTCTGTGACCCGACCAGAAGCAAGAGAGAGCCAGCCACCTGTCCCCACCCCATCAACACCTGTGACCACGCCCGTTCACTACAGAATCATGAACAACTGAGACAGGACCATGTCAGGTAGCATACAGCCTAGTGGACACGGGGAGGGGGGGGGACACGACACACACGACGGGACGACAACAAACCCCACATATCAATAAACAGCCAATGACTCAAAGTAGCCCCGTGTGTGATTTGAATGTGAAGTGTCTCTTAGGCTCGCATCTTTGAATACTTGGTTCTCAATTTGGGGTGGTCCAACAGGTGAGAAGTAGGGAGTTTAAGGTCTAGTTGGAGGAAGTAGGTCACCAGTGGGAGGGGCTACTGAGGGAGGGCCTACCTAGAGGAAATGGATCGCTGGGAGCAGGTACTGGTGTTTCTTAGCCTGGCCCGGTTTCCTGACTTCTCTCTGCTTTCTGGCCTTAGGTGCAGTGAGAGCAACTGCCCCATTCTCCTGACATCACACTTTCCCAGCCCTAATGGGCTATCTCCCCTCAGGCTGTTTACTTGGCCCCAGCACTGAGAAATAAAACAGGACAACGGGACAGAGAGGAGCTGGAGGAGAAGAGCAGGGGCAGCTGCCCGTAGAGGGGAGCCAAGATGTGATGATGAAAGGGAGTTATTTAAAAATTTGCAGGAGGAACATTCCAGAAAGAGGGGATAGCAAGCAAGCGCCAAGCCCTGAGAAGGAAACAGTACCGCTTCTTCCTTGGTCAGCTTCCCATTGCACTGACAAAATATGAGATGATAACCTATAAGGAAGAAAAGAGTTGCTCGTGGTTTTAATGCACAGCTGCCTGGCCCTGGCGCCTCTGGTGCTTGCGGCTAGACGGAATATTCTGACCGGGTGCCTGGTGCCTGCGGTAGAGGAAAGCCAATCGCTTCACGGTGGCCAGGAAGCAGAAAGAGGAGCGGCCAGGGTAGACTCATGGCGGCACCGCTCCCTCCCACTAAGCCCCGCCCTCTAAAGTTTACACTGACTCCCAGTAGTACCACAGCCTTAAAAGGCGATCAAGCCTTTTAAGGAGGGGTGCGGGCAGGAGACTTACTGCAGGCAGGTAGGGCTGGCTAGAAAGGACCAGAGGGCCAATGGATCAGTTCATACACTTATCATTCTTCTCATGGCTTTTCATTCTTCAAAAAAAACTTCTTCCCCTAAAGTTCTCTCCCAAAAGGGTCTCTTTTAAGGTTTCTCCTCGGAAGTTCTTTCCCTAAAAGGTCTCCCTGAAAGTTTTCTTTAGAAGGTCTTCTTAAAAATCCTCCTAGATCCCACAAGGTTCCCAGTTTGTATACCCACAGACACAACTGGCAATTCTCTGGCAATAATAGCAAGGATACCAGGCACACATACATCGCAGAGCCAGGAAGGCAGATAAGATCTTGACAAAAGCGAGGAGGCGTGACTTGTAAAATGTTGTCTGTGCAAGCTGAAGTCTCAGCGAGGATGTGACTTATAAAATGTGTGGGCGAACTTAAGAGGCAGGGGAGGGATCCGTGGAGTAAGGGGGCCATGTGAGATCTGGAGGCTGCAGCTCTTACCAATGACGTCCCGGTGAGAAGGAAATCCCTTTCTCTGGGGCCTTTTTGAGAGTGTAAAGCACCAGTATATATTCTGTATGTCAAGATTATACAGCCAAATTCATAGCAACAGATATTCTGGGTCTGTATTTCTTGCAGACTCTGCAAGGCAAGTTTTCTCCATCAGAAGTTAATTCTGGTGGGTTGGTACCTAGAATATTAATGGCTATTTCTGTAATAAATGGCAAAGGTGGCCAGGCGGTGGTGGCGCACGCCTTTAATCCCAGCACTCGGGAGGCAGAGGCAGGCAGATCTCTGTGAGTTCGAGGCCAGGCTGGACCGACAGCCTTGAAAACAATACAGAGAAACCCTGTCTCAAAAAAACCAAAAAAATAAAAAATACAAAAAAATAAAAAATAAAAAATAAATAAATGGCAAAGGCTCCCAGCAGCACCTGGTCCTTAGGAGACCTTCCAGATCCAAAGTGTAGCATCTGGTAAGGAAAGAGGAGAGGCTGGTATGGGCTGGACAGAGAAGAATGAAGTAGGCAGATGGGAGTCATGAGGAAGCAGGAGCCCATGGGTTCCCTGGCACCTCACAGACAGAGGAGGAGGCTGTGGAGGTCATAAGATGGGAGCCATCAGCTCTGAGTTTTGAATGGACTACCCTGACTCCTGGGAAAAGAATTAATGTGGGCAGAGAGGACAAAAAACAGGCAGAGACGAGACGGTTGCTTGGTCGAGGCTGCAACACCGTGAAACCAAGGATGTGTTCTGAGGAGAGGATTGTTAGGACCCCAGGATAAAGGCACCAAGCCCAGTGTCTACAAACACTCTATTCTGTCACAAGTAGCTATATGTACACATGCACACCAACCCTTTCCTCCATGTACAAACAGGGTAGGGTACTGGCAAAGACTCCAGACCCTGGAGCCCTTTCTGGGTTGAAATCCACCTCATGTGCTTACTAGCCATAAAGCTTGACACAAAATGTCTTAGCCTCACTACGTGATGGGTTCCTCACCTGCAGAACGCGATGGGGAGAGGAGCATCCTCACGAAAGCTCAATACCATACGTAAAGCAGTTAGAGAAGGACACCCGGCCTGTGGCTCCCTGTAGCCCTTGTAACAGTCATCCAGGGGCTTCATTTAAAATGATGTAGTGGTGGCGCACGCCTTTAATCCCAGCACTGGGAGGCAGAGGCAGGTGGATCTCTGTGAGTTCAAGGCCACTCTAGTCTACAGAGTGAGTTCCAGGACAGCCTCCAAAACAATACAGAGAAACCCTGTCTCAAAAAATTAAAAAAAAAGAACAATGATGACAACCACTACAATTGTTCAATTTAGCTGGACACGGGGGTGTTTGCCTTTAATCCCAGCACTTGTGAGACAGAAGCAGGTAGATCTCTATGAGCTGGAGGGCAGCCTGGTCTATACAGTGACTAAAACAGGGTGATGTCGAGAGACCCTACCTCAAAAAAAAAGTAAATAAATAAATAAAAACTGCACAACTTTATTCTTCTACAATTCTGAAAGCCACAGTACACAGTTCCACTCAGCTCAGGATGAATTCCTCTTGGATGTCCCACTCAGGAGACAGTCTGATGCTCGCCTACTCGCCTTCTTTGGCTCCTGGAGATCGCAGCATCCTGGTTCCTGCTGCATTACCTCTGTTCCAACCATGCATCCTCTTTTTTTTTTTTCTTTGACTTGCTCTATTCCTCTTTAGAGGGAGGGACCCTTGTGATCTAATCTTGGGCCTCCTTGGACAATACAAAATCATCTCGAGGTCCTAACTTAAACACGCATGCACCTGTCTTTCGATGTATAAGGTAGTGCACAGATTATGGGCATTAGGATGAAGATGGCTTTGGAGGCCATATGACAAACAATAAATAGAGGCTAACTGCTATTATTACCACTGTTATCATTGTTATGACTTACACAGCATCCCTGAAGCTGCCTCCATCCGTAGCAACTCCCAAAAAAGGTACCTTGGCGGTGAGAGGGGATGTGGAGAGACATTGAATTCACTGGAACCCCCTGAGGCTGGACTTCCAAGCTCAAGGTAGAGCTAAAAGGGCCCTGAGAGCTGGCTGAACAGAGCTAGAGTCACCCGCCAGGCCTGGTGAGGAAGCAGGTGCAGAGGCAGGCGTGCAGGAACGTGCTCCCAGGCCTTCTCCAGGGACCGAGATCAAGGCATGGCCACAGGCTAGGGCCTCTTGATGCTGCTGTATTGCGTAGACTCCTCAAGGCTGGCACTGGGAACGTGGGTGCCGAGGGAACCAGTGTTGTTGTAAATGGGCTCCTGACCCAAGGCCGCCAAAGACAGAGCTGCGTATGAAATCTCCTGCCTGGGAAAGGGAGCCTGTGATACAGAGGGTCACAAGGTCAGAGAGGCTGGAGAGAAACAGTGGCCACCCGAAGAGACAAGAAAGTCCTCAGAGGGGGTGGGTCAGGGCTCCAGCTTCCCTCCATTCCATCAGGCACCCCTACAGCACGGGAGACTCCCACCTCTGCCCCGGAGGACCACTTCCTACAGGCTCCTAAGCCATGTGGGCAATGTGACTCTTCCCTGCCCAGCGTTAGGACCACACTGGACAGGTCCAAGTCTGCAGGCTTGGGGTATGGTGTGGGAACCTGCCAGGCCTGCTCAGACCTCCCCCTCGACAGCTGTGTCCACATGGGCACAGAGCTGGCTTCCGAAGGGGGTGGGGCCGTGGCAGACGCGCATCTCCACAGCCCCATGAAAGACATACCATGGTGACATACTCTACTTCCTCTTGGTGGGCCTTGCCAGAGGACGACATGGAGGAGCCCTTTTTCCAAGATGGGCCACGGGAGGGTCTGGGCTGCTTAAGGGACAGGTTTGCATAACAGACATCGCCCTCCAGAGACTGGGATACCTGGGGTTGGGGACACAGGATGTGCAAGTTATAGAATTAGCCTGTGGAAATAGTCTACTTTTGCAGAGGGACATGGGCCTCACTGCTTTCCTGTGGACCCCTCCCCCAGTTCCTTATGCTCCTCATCCCCAACTCCATTATCTACCCAGGCCTCCTCCCCTCTGACTGCTTCTAGACCCCTCATCCTCCTCCCTCTGGCTGTTTCTAGATCCTTCATCCCCTCCAGCCCTGCAGGAGCCAGGAGTCTGTAGACACTTTGGGATGTAGCTTATCTGATGCATTTGGACTTAGAGGCTCCCAGGAGGGGGGAAAATGAGGAAAGAAGGCACGAAGCCTGCCGGTTCCTCATGTCTGGCCTCTGGGACACTTACCTGCTCTGAGTGTGGCCCAGCAGCTAAAAGGAAAAAGAAAAATCTGAAATTAGAAAACCTATCCTTGAGACTTGCAAGGAAGAGAAGTAGGGTGGTGTGGGATGGGGTGGGGTTGGGTAGAGTGTGGTTGGGTGTGGTTGGGTGGGGTGAGGTACAAACAAGGAAGGCTCTAGTTCAGAGACAAGAAACCTGATTTCAAATTCTGACCCTTTGGGAGGCACACTCTGTGACACTAGCTATTTCTGTGGTGAAAGTTTCCATTTCTCCACCAGAAATAGAGACCTTAACCTACCTGTGCCCGACCTCACAGACCTATGCAAATGACCCCTGGGGTGGCCTTGCCAGCTCTCCGATCTCCTAGAGCTGAGATTCTCCCCGCAGGGTCCCGGGGGTCTCATTCACATCTTTGCTTGTTACGGCCATCCTTCCTCCACCGACACCTCCTACAAGGCCACTTCAAGGTCACGTCTGCCCCTACTAGCAACTGGGCCGTCTGGTCCTCCTTCGTCCCATGGCGCTCGACCCTTATACCGCCTTCGTCTGATACTGAATTCTGGTTGTGTGCAGCCAGGCTCTGAGCCACAGGGTGTCGGGGCCTGCCTCCCGCAGATGCTTGGCTCTGCCGGACAGCTGTGCATTCTGCCCCAGCTAGGATGCCCGGGCTAGGCCAGCGTGGCATGGACAAGTGGTGGAAAGAGAGAGTGCTGGGTTTTGTAATTTTTTTTCTACCCTCGACCTTCTTCCTTTCGGCCTACATCCCACCCTGGGCTCTAGAGACAAGAGAGAGAGAGAGAGAGAGAGAGACAGAGAGAGAGGATTACCCCAGTTCTTAGTATCAAGTGACCTGAGGCCTGGGAATGGAGAAAATACTTAAACTTGGGTCTCGGTCAACAAATTTCGGAGCAGAAGGGATGAATAAGAGCCAGGGTCTTGGGGCCAGCAGGACGGCTAGGAGAGTAAAGGTGCTTGGCATTGGGACCTGACAGCCAGAGATAATTCTCAGAACACACATAGTAGAAGGAGAAAACCAACTCCCACACGTTGTCCTCTGATCTCCACATGCGTGCTATGGTGTGTATGCACATGTGGGTGCTCTAATGCACACTCACACAGTTTAAAATTATTGTTAAGTTTTTAAAAGAACCTAGTCTAGTCAGGCATGGTGGCACACGCCCTTAATCCCAGCACTGGGAGGCAGAGGCAGGTGGATCTCTGTGAGTGTGAGGCCAGCCTGGTCTACAGAGTGAGTTCCAGGACAGCCTGAGCTACACAGTGAAACCCGCCCTTTTTTTTTTACTTTGCTTTGTTTTTTGTTTTTTGAGACAGAGTTTCACTGTGTAGTCCTGGTACTCATTCTGCCTTGGAACAAAAACAAAAAAACACTCCCAGGCTCAGGGTAGGGATGGAGTGGGGGTGGGGGTGGAGTAGGGATGGGGATGGAGTGGGGGGGGGATAGAGTGGGGGTGGGGTCGAGGTAGGGATGGAGTGGGGGTGGCGTGGGAACACCTCAGGTCCCTGGGCATTCTGAGAAACATTCTACAACTACTTGAAAATGTGGAAGTGAAGCCAGACAGGAAAGGGCTTGGTTGAGGCCAGACCTTGTGATCTGAGAGACCTTGTGATCTGAGAGAGGGAGCTCTCTTCTCTGAAAGGCAGGGGCACCTAGAACAAGCAGGTCAGGCAGAAAAGGGGCTGATGGGCTGGGAAGAAGCAGAAGCTGGAGTCCCACTGACACTCCTGATGCCTGGAAAGACATACTCACGAATGTGTGTGTAGAGCACACATGCACTGATATGTGTGTGTGTCTGTGTGTGTGTCTGTGTGTGTGTGGGTGTGTCTGTGTGTGTGTCTGTGTGTATGTCTCTGTGTGTCTGCGTGTGTGTATGCCTCTGTGTGTCTGCGTGTGTGTGTGTGTCTCTGTGTGTCTGTGTGTTTGTGTGTTTGTGTGTTTGTGTGTGTCCGTGTGTATGTCTCTGTGTCTGTGTGTGTCCGTGTGTATGTCTCTGTGTCTGTGTGTGTGTCTGTGTGTGTGTGTCTGTGTGTGTGTGTGTTTGTGTGTGTGGGTGTGTCTGTGTGTGTGTCCGTGTGTATGTCTCTGTGTGTCTGTGTGTGTGTGTGTATCTTCCTTCTCCCGTGTGAGCTTGGCACCTCCCTCACAACCGCATCTCCTTAGAGTGGGTTGCCCTCCTAAAGTCATTGCTGCTTCTGCCACTCTGACCCAAACTGAGAAACAGGGAAGGAGGCATCAGAGAGGAGCAAGGACGTTCAGGGCAGGCAGCTGACTCCAAATCTTCCCAGTGGAGTTCCAGATCACCTCCAGCCTCTCAGACTGCCAGCTGGTGGTGACCTTTCTGGCACATTTCTCCCAGACTGCTTGGATAGTCTCTGAGGCCAGCTGTCACACAGCAATGCTAACCATCAGCCCACACCGTCCAACCAGCCCCAGCCTGAGGGCCAGACACACTCACCTTTCTTCTGTCTCCTCACCATCCTCCAAGCGAAGAGCGAGGCCACCAGCAGGAGAAGCAACAGCACCGCAGAGATAACCGGGAGGAGCACACTGAGATCCAAAAGACCACTGCCTCCGCTGTCTTCACCACCGTCACTGTCACCACCGCTACCATCAAGACTGGAACTGCAGAAGACATGTGCACCCAGGCCTGTGCCCCCATCCTCTGAGCCCAATCCCAGCCACCTGACGGCAGAGGCAGGACCAAAAAACACCTTACGGCCTGCAGAACTCTGGTTTCCAGTCAGGGGACCCTCACTCTAGAAGTCCAGCAAGAACTGTACAACCAGAGGCTTGAGTCAGGCTTCCCAGCTCCTGGGCAGGCCCTCACTGGGCATGCATAGGTCTGGGAAAGTTACCAGAGAATAAACCAGGTTCTGGCCTTGTTAAAAAACTTCCATCTAAGATTCAGGGTCAAGATTCTCTGAGGAAGCTACCTCCGTAAAATGGATACATTTGTAAGTATCCATTCCTCTCAAGGGGTGATCATAGGCTAGGCCAAAGACGGCATCAGGCAGGGCTGAGGATAACATTCAGCTCATAGTGGTCTTCCTAGCATGCATGAGGCTCTAACCTCTTCCTAGCATGCATGAGGCTCTAAACTGAACCACAGGCTTAAACAAGGTGTGGCAGCAAGCACCTGTAATCCTAGCCCTCAAGATAGAGGCAGAAGGCCCAGAAGACCATCCATAGTGTGTTCAAGGTCAGCCTGGGCTGCAGGAGACTCTGTTAGGAGATGGGGGTGGGGAAGAAAAGAAAACGAAAGGAAGGGGGGAGGAAAGGGAAACAAAACCCCTTCATAAGTTGCTGGTGGGCTAGAGACATTGAGTACCTACCAATATCACAGTTCTTATTTTAACAGTAATTTGATTATTATTTGTGTGTGTGTGTGTGTGTGTGTGTGTGTGTGTGTATACATGTGTAGTGTCTTCAGAGGCAAAAAAAAAAAAGGCCATTGGATCCCCTGGGAGTGGAGTTACAGGTGGTTGTGACCAGCATGTGAATGCTGGGAATCAATCCCAGATCCTCTCTAAAAGCAGCGAGTGCTCATGACTGAGCCATCTCTCCAGCCCCTTAACAGCCATTTGAAGAGCTCTAGGGAATCAAATCCTCCACAAGTTCTCCGTGGCCTCCTAGAAGTTGGACCAAAAGCCGTGCCCATGGCCCTACAGCCCCCCTTCTCTCTTTCTCTCTCTCTCTCTCTCTCTCTCTCTCTCTCTCTCTCTCTCTCTCTCTCTCACGCACACACACACTCACATCCCGGTCACACTGTCCTTGTTGACTTCCTATGAAAACCTCTCTCCCACCTAGCACTACATCCATGTCTCCAGAACCCAGCGCATGCCTACCAGAAGAAGTCAGCTCCCGTTAAAGGAGGGTGACTGAAAGAACAAACGAACCGACAAACCTACAAACGACCCCTTTGTTCCAGGGCGAGGGCTCACTGGGATCTGACGGCAAGTTGGGCGGGCCAGCATCCTTAACCACACAAACGGAGCTGGAGACTTCTGAGACCCCGCTCTTGGAAGATTTGGAACTAACCAGACCACAGAGGACAGCAACATCCAAACTGGCTTACCTGACAGCGGAGTAGGGGCTGCTCACCGGTGGTAAAATGCTGGTCCCTTTTCCAGCAGTGCTCTCTGTGAACATGGTGGTGGTGGAGGTGATAGGGAGCGTGGTCAATGCTGTAGTGGGTGCTTGGGGTGCTTGGCATAAGACAGATTATAACACTATTCAAGCCACCCACTCACAGGATGCTCTTACTCTAAGCCTGGGAGGGAGTGTGGGTCATCCCAGCCAGAGGACTCTGGAGCAGGGCTGGGGCAGGCAACTGTAGCTGGACCACTAGCACCCTCTTGACCTCTAAGACGGCCCAGAGCTTCTGAGGCAGATGGGGCTGGGCACAGCACCAGGGATGATGTGGAGCCCTGGAGGGAGCCAGGGAGAGTCCCAGATCAAGGGCAGCTGTAGCCCAGCTGAGTACCCCAACTGCCATGCCAGGGCCTCTGGCCAGCTTTATCAGGCAAAGACGGGGGCAGACAAGGAACTTAAACAGTGGCTAACATAGCCTAGATTTGAAACTTCTGAGGCCACGGCCATACTTCGGGGTGGCGGTGGGGGAGACATGGGATGGACAACCAATACTGGGCATGGAGAGACGGCTCAGCAGTTAAAAACAAATGATGCTCTTGCAGAGGTTCCCAGCACCCACATAACGACTCACAACCGTCTGTAACTCCAGTTCTAATGTCCTCTCCTGCCCTCCATGGGTACCTGACACACGTGTGGTGCACATAGGTGTATGCAGACGAAACACCTACCTATATACACGAAATAAATAAAAACCCTTTGATAGCAAAAAAAAAAAGAAAGAAAATCCTAATAGTTAGGAAGATACTTTACTTGGGACAAGTTTCAATAATGGGGGCAAGTTTAAATAATGAGGACACCCCTTCTCAAGGGTATTGTCGGCAAGACAATGCAAGTTTTGCACCATACTGAGCCTCAGGGAGTCCTGGTGATGGTAGCGGGGGTCCCCATCTGCCGTCTGTATCCTAAAAATACCCTATGACCTGGTGCTGCCTGCCTGAGGTGGCAGACCAGAGCCCAAGAGAGAAACTACTCGAAGCTGATGTACCAAGACCTCTGAACTGACCCCACCACCACCACCACCATGAGTTGCCGCATTCTGGAAGGACTCACACAGAGAACATCGTTAGACAAAAGACACAAATGGGCTCCTTGGGAGAACAGAACACAACTGCGTATAAGGGCCTTTCTAGACCTTGGACCACAGCACCCCAACTAGGCTGATATGGTTTCCCTCAGGATAGATAGTGCCAGTGAGCACAGCCTCAGGGGAAGGCACCACCCAGAGCTCCTTGGGGAGCAAGGCACCCTTCCCATGGAACTCCAGGAAAGCACTGGCAGTTCCTGGAGACTCAAGGAACCACAGGAAGTGGTATCTTTGGCCTATGAGTTGGAGCTGGAGACAACCACCCTCCCCTCTCTTGGCCATAGACTCAAGATGGGGCTGTGCAGAGAAGAGGAGGGAAAAGTGCCCGGAAGCCCGGGAGGCAGCAGGCATTTAAGAGAAACCCTGTCCAAACCACAAGCAGTCAACCAAGGTATGTGGGTCTTTAGGGCTCAGCCTCCTGTGCAGCGTTTACTCCAGTGACAGCTAAGTTCCTTTAGGTGGGACCCGAGGGACCAAAAAGGACAATTAAAGAGATGTACCCACACTCTCACCTGGATCAACGTTCACATTAACTTTAAAGCCGGGATCGCTACCAATTTTCTGAATCCCACACCAGTAAATGCCGGCATCACTTATCCTCAGGTCCTCCATGGTCACTATGAATATGAAGTCTGTCTGGTTGTCCCTGATGGACACGCGGTTCTTCTCCACCAACTTCTCCGATGTATCAGTTTTGACAAGAGTCGCACAAGTACCCCAATCTGCTCCTCGGCACCAGTACTTCTTGTAACCCTTCCAGTGGGGGTCATACCGGCACCACACAGTCAAGGAGCCCCGCTCCTGGCCACTCACCGTGCTTGAACCTGTGATTGGATCCTTAGCAGTAGAAAAACCTAGAAAATAGAAAACAATGGACCACTGATCTTCCACTCCAAGGGTGGAGCATAGTGCTAGTTCCAAAAGCATGGTTAATTGAATAGTGGTCAAGGGAGGGACACCCCTTCTCCAACGCAGGCTGCCTGCTGTCCCTCAACATCCTGCTGAGTCAGAGGAGCGAGGAAAATGCTTGAAAAAACAATTACAGCTCTCAAAAAGAAAAAAAAGCGGCCAACCACAATGGCACAGACCTTTAATCCCAGAACTCGGCAGGCAGAGAATGTCTCTGAGTTCAAGGCCAGTGTGGTCTACACAGCAAGTTCCAGAACAGCCAAGACTACATAGAGTGGCCAACATCATCCCGAACATCTGCCCTCCCACCACCACATAAAGAACATCCAGGAGTGATGCTGCCAGATGTGGTGCTGCCAGATGTGCTGCTGCACACACCTAATCCCAGCAGTTAAGAGACTGAAGCAGGAGAATCATGGATTTAAAGCTAGCCTGGGCTACATAGTGAAAATGAGTCAAAAACCAGTTACTCCCACCCCACTTCTTAATAACCCAACCTGTGTGCCCCCCACTTCTTAATAACCCAACCTGTGTGCCCCCACTTCTTAATAACCCAACCTGTGTGCCCCCCACTTCTTAATAACCCAACCTGTGTGCCCCCCACTTCTTTATAACCCAACCTGTGTGCCCCCCACTTCTTAATAACCCAACCTGTGTGCCCCCCACTTCTTTATAACCCAACCTGTGTGCCCCCCACTTCTTTATAACCCAACCTGTGTGCCCCCCACTTCTTTATAACCCAACATGTGTGCCCCCCACTTCTTTATAACCCAACATGTGTGCCCCCCACTTCTTTATAACCCAACATGTGTGCATGTATGGGGTATATTTGATGCATGCGCCTGAGTTAATATGTAGACAACAGAGGGAGACATGAGTGTCTTGTCCTATCACTCTCTGCCTTACTTTTTTAAAATTTATTTTTATTATATGTGTATGGGCATTTTGCCTGCTCATGTGTCTGTGTACCAACATGAATGCCTGGTGCCTTCAGAGACCAGGACAGGGTGTTAGATCCCCTGGAACTGGAGTTACAGATGGTTGTGTGCCATTGTGTGGCTGCTGGGAAACGAACCAGAGTCCTGTCTCTGCGAGAACAAGTGCTCTTAACGACTGAGCCATCTCTCTGACCCCTCTGCTTCATTCTTTTGAGACAGTCTAAGCTATGCTACGGGCCAGCAAGCCCAGCAACCCAGTCCCGTCTCTACCCCTCACAACACTAGGGTGAAAGGCCCATGAGCAACCACAGCCTGGCTTTTCATGTGGGCACTGGGATCCGAACTCAAGTTCCCTTGCTCACACAGTGACTGTTCTTACCCACTGAGACACCTCTCCAGTTGAAAACGCACATATTTGTGACGATCCTCTTACTACAATCCTCACGCTGTGCTGATGTGGAGAGGGAGGAGGAGACCCGTTTTCCCAGGGCTATGGTATCCATCCTGAGGAGGTCCAGCATCTAACACCCCTGAGAGGCTGTTGCTGGAGGTCCCAGGGGGTACCTCCTGTAGTCCCCCACCCTGGATAGAATGACTTTGATTCTATATTCTGGCCCCTGGCACACAGGTCCCATTGTCTCCATGAACCACATAGGTGCATTTGTCAAAAAACAAATGTGTGAGTTCCAGGTGGTCTTCCCATTCTGTTCCTTTGACCTATGTGTCCATCCCATGCTAATTCCAGTGTCCTGCCTTGCAGTGTCACACGTGTTCTCGAGGATGAGAGGGGTTTCTTCTGAAAATACATGTTGTGCTCTCACCTTTGAAAGATTTGGGGTACACTGCAATGTTACTTTACAAAAAAAATTTGGGGAGATGGCTCAGTGTGTAAAGGCACTTGCCACCAAGCCTGATGATCTGGTAGGCAGATGACCTGGTAGATGTGACTCCTGAAAGTTGTCCTCTGACATCCACATCCACAACCACCCACACACATGCACCCAATGCATACACCACACACACACACACACACACACACACACACACACCACACACTACACATACACCACACACACATACACCACACACACATACACAAAAGTAAGAAAAAGGAGGAGGAAGGTGGCTTAGCAATTATGAAATGTCCTTCAATGAATTAGGTTTTCACACATCTGTTTTAACCACATGTGTTTATCACATGCACTGTTTTCTTCTTATGCTACACAGTTTTCTACTTAATTGATGTTTCTCTCCTCCCTTTTATTCTTTATCAGAGAAGTTTTGAGGTTTAGTTGGGACATTAGTTAGCCTGTTGCTTTTGTTTTTATTTTTGTTTTTGTCTCTGGCCATCAGGAAGTAGGGTGGGGAAAGGGGAGTGGGGTAGGGAGAGAAAGAGAGGGGCCTTTTCCCCTTGGATTCCATCTGGCTCCCCAGTCTGTGGAATGGCACTGCCCATGTCAGTGTCAGTCTCCCCATGGTTGAGCCTCTGGATCCTGGAAGTGCCCTCACAGACACACTCAGAGGTGCGCTTTCCTGACCCCTGAGCACTTCTCAACCCCGCCGACATTAAAGTGGTGGATGTCATCACTTTACTACATAAGTCAACGCCTCACCTGTGTCATTTTCTTCCCATTTCCTTGAGATTACTGCATGTTATCAATTTCTAGGTTGCCTTGTTAGGAAACTGGGTAAAGGCACCTGCTGTCAAAACTGACCACATGAAAAAAAAACTGACCACATGAGTTCAATACCCAGAACCCACATGGAGGAAGGACAGAATGGACTCCCATAAGTTGTCCTCTGACTTCCACGCATGCATCCACACACGTGCGCGCGCGCACACACACACATGTGCGCACACATGCGAGCACACAGGCGCAAAACAACAACAGGAAACATGCTCCAGGCACGGTAGGACCATGCCTGTAATCTTAGCACCTGCTAGAAGCCATTGTGAACTATGCAACTAGTTCAAGGCCAGCCTGACCTACACAGGGAAACCTTGTCTCAAAAAAGCAAAACCATGGTACTGAGTATATGACTTGGTTGATAGAGTGCTTGCTTGGCATGTGTGAGGTCCTGGGTTCAGTCTTCCCAGCATGGAGGAAGAACAATGTTGGAAACAACGACTCTAATGGACACAGTTTGCTAGTTGCCAGATGAGTACTCACCATGGTTTTAGGGACAAAAGTCTCTGGGAGCTTTCATTCCACTAAGATGAGGGAAGGGGGCACAGATGACAGCAGAGGTGGGGTGGGATGGGGGGACAACACGGGGGACTCATTGTTTTGGTTTTGTGTTTGTTTTCTTTTTGAGGCAGAGTCTCACATAACTCAAGCCTTGGATTCTGTAGGTGAGGATGACCTAGAACTCCCTCTCCCCTTGTCTATGCCTCCTGAGTGGAGTGGGTCAGACCCTAGCAGGAAGAGCAGCTTTAATTAAGGTCCCCAATGAAGCCCGCAGGGAGAAATGAAGACATGGAGGAGGTGAGGAGCCTGGGACAACATGGGAAAGAGCACTTAGAGCAGAGGGGACAGGAAGCCCCGAGACCAAGCAAACCTGGAGTCTTCAAAGCCATGCGGGGAAGGGGTTGAACCAGGCAAGGAAGCAGGGGAGAAAAGGAGGAACCGGGATGGGAGCAGATGCTAACAGAGGATGCTAACAGAGGATGCTAACAAAGGATGATAACAGATTCTAACAGAGGATGCTATGCAAAAAGGAATCAGGTGGTAAGCACCTTCCTTGTAAGCCGTTTGCAGGGACTTAGGACTTAAACTCAAAGTCGGGGAGGAGGCCATTGGAGGAAGATGCACTAGGGGTACGAAATTGAAAGCCTTTTGCTGATGATATTTCAAACCATCCTAATGGCACAGTGGAAACCACCAGAACACAAAACAAGAATACCCCCTTCTGCAGTTTGCACACCCTAGAGAGGTGGTTCTCAACCTTCCTGATGCTGTGGCCCTTTAACGCAGTTGTGGTGAACCCCAACCACACAGTTATTTTTGTTGCTACTATGTACCTGTGATGTTGCCACTATCATGAATCATAATGTAAATATAGTGTTGGAGCTAGATGCTTGTCAACAGGGTTGCAACCCACACGTTGAGAACAACTGCTGCTCCAGAGTAACTGTGTATCCATTTACATCGCAGCAGTATTCACGATCACCAAGCCACCGACCAAAGTCCATTGACAGATGGATATGTAAGTATATACACGATTGTGTTGGCAAGAAAGTACGTTTAGCTGGAGGCCAGCATATTAAAGAGAATAAGCCAGATTCAGAAAGACAAGTATCACATGTTTTCTCTCATATGCAAAAGTCTAGATTTTTTAAACAAAGTAGACATGAGAGTAGAAGGGAGGAAATCAGTAGAAATGGGGGGAGAAGACAATGATCCGAGAACATTATATGCACACATGAAAAAAATGGCATCACAAACCTATTATTTCATGCATTTTTTTGTTTTTTCAAGACAGGGTTTCTCTGTGTAGCTTTGTACAATTTATTTCCAGATGGATTCTTATAGTACATCCGGGACTAGCCTGGAACTGGTAAGTAGACCAGGCTGACCTTAAACTCACAGAGATCTACCAACCTCTATCTTCCAAATGAGGCAATTAAAGGTGTGCACCACCATACCTAGAACATCACTGCTCTCAGCAGTAAATTCTCTTTCTTTGAAATCAAAACTGTATCCATTCACTTATAGCTACATCAAATCAAGTGTGATGGCACATGCCTACAACCCCATCACAAGAAAACCCCCTTCTGCGCTCTAACATAGCATGCACTAAAGCAGGGGTCCTCAACCTTCCTAATGCTGTGGCCGTTTAATACAGTTCCTCGTGTTGTGGTGACCCCCAGCTGTAAAATTATTTTTGTTGCTACCTCATAACTGTAGTTTTGCTATGTTATGAATCATAATGTAAGCATTTTTTGGAGATAGAGACCGGGGCAGGAAGATCACTAGTTAGAGGGCCAGGCTTGGCTACATAGACGACATCCCTCCCATCACAAAGTACAACAAGAAATACGCGAGAAAGTTGCTGTCAGCGCTCTGCCTTGGCCGTGTCGCAGGCCTCCTCTTCACTTTTTCTGTCCCTCTGCCACCTCTGTTGTTTCCTCCTGTCCCAGCTGGCATCAGTCACCCCTCCATCGGTTTTGAATAGCAGGTCCCTCCGCTCTTCCCTCAGTGTCCTACTCACGTGAGCTGGCGTCTTCCCCAAAGCCTTCCCTTGGGGGTGCACGTTTCACAACAGCCCAGCCCCCTCGGGTATTCTCCTGAGCCACCAGGGCTGTCTTCCGAAGACCAGTGGTCTGCGTGCTCACCTGAGACCCAGAAGAGGATGGGGACCAGCAGCAGCAGCTGCATCTTCTCACCCAGTCCGTTTGTTGTCTTGGTGGCGCCTGTCGGTGGGTGAGGACGGGCTACATGCTCGACTCCTGTGTCTCCTGGGCCTCTGATTTCCCTCGCTCTCACCCCGGCACTTCCTCTTCAGCCACTTCCCACTGGTGAATAAAACCAAAAAGAGGAAGGAGGTAGGGGTGAGTGAGATGTGATGCAAGAAGCCGGACTTCTGAGGAAGGTTTTGAGAAACACCACCCTGCCCAGAGCCAGAGTGACTTCTCTGAGAAGACAGCCGGGGGCCTCCTACTCTGTACATACAGATCCGCTGATTCGGGGTCACTTCGGCCATAGCCAGAGTGGTTGGAGCCCAGTGTCCAGAGGTTCCATAGGCTGACGGGGATCAGCAGAGAGATTCTAGAACAGACACTGGAATGGCGAGACAGGAGGAAACCGAGGAGGTATTAAAAACCCAGCCTCATCAGGGGTATTGGAACACAGCTGTAATCCAGAATTCAAGAGGCAGAAAGTGGGGGGGGGTGAAAGTTTGCCAAGAACCGGAGCCACATAGTTAAGTCAAGGCTAGCCTGAGCTACATAGTGACAACTGTCTAAAAAGAGAGGAGGTATTGCCCAATAGCAGAGCTCTTGTCTCACCTGACAAAGGCCTTAAATTTGATTCCCAGTGCTACTACCTCCTACGGAATTACAAAGACAGGGGCTCATGTAATTAGGATGTGTGAGCAATGATCTGCTTACCCAGTTTGGGGGGGGGCGTTCAGCTTTGAGAATACACTGGCTGATCTGCCCCCAGCCCACTGGGTAATAGACTGGGTAATTGACCTGAATTCCCCAGAGCTTTAGTGAATGCCTGGGGCCTCTCCCACCCCCAAAGAAATCAGCTTGCTATTCATACCTTCTAACGCTTGCTCCCACGCCCTCCTCACCGTTACCATTTGTCCAAACGCCAAAGGGACGAAGGGCAGCCTCGATGGTCTCACTCTTCATTCTGCCATCACGTCTCCTCCGTGTCACACACAATCCTTTCCAGCAAGCCCTTGGAGTAGAGTCACTTTTGGTAGGTGCCACACACAAACCCTGTGACACCGTGGCTTCACAGTGCCCTCGAGCCCTGGTCAGGTTACCCAGAATGGAGGAAGCCTGTGGGAGGGTTTTTTACACTGGAAACACTAGCCGCTGATAAGCCACTTTTCCAGGATGTGGCCAGAGACGGCCACTCACTTTGCATGTTCCTAGACCATAAGGAAAAGCCAACAAGGGCTGGGGAGTCTCACTCACCACATTGATCAAACAGATCTCTGGCCCAGCACCGTGCAGGGCTGCTGAGATAGGAACCCTCTGTATCACGTATTGGGATGCCTTTCAGGGCAGTGATGCCCAGGCTGGGGTGCCCTGAAAACCAAGGGGCGGGGTCCTGGAGGGTCCTTTCTTGGGTGGACAAAGCAAAAACAAAACAAAACAAACAAAAAACAGAGCTGTCTGTCGGGAGCCTGTGGCCAGACTTCTGATTCTGGTCCTCACAGACTGGCCCATCTAAGATGCAGGGCCAGTCTTTGAATCAAGAACACAGACTTATCCAAGAGGTTGTGAGTGACGAGGACACTGGCCCTCATTCAAAGTCCTCTGTGGGCTCTGAGAGTCAGGAGGTTCAGGAGCCCTGCCCGTGTCCTCAAAGACCCATTAGGGGCCCCAAACCTGGCTGGGTCATTGATTTCAGCATAACTCAGTTACCTCCCAGGCCATGCCATATCCCCACTGGTGAAACAGGGCATTGAAGCTATTCATGGTGGTGCATACCTGAGGATCAGGAGTTCAAGGCCAGCCTCAACTTTGTAGTAAGTTCCAGGCTAGTCATGAGTTCCCATAGAACAGACCATTGAGGATTCTCCCTTCCCTAAAGCAGTCTGTTTACACAATATGTGTTCACTTTGTACACACACACACACACACACACACACACACACGCACGCATGCACGCACACACATGTGCACATGCATTGCATGTATTGTTATTTGTGGAGAGAACTGTGTATACACGTGTATTGTCTGCCATGTGGTATGTAATGATACGTTATGTGTACATGTGTCTATCTGTGTGTATGTCCTCATGTGTTTGTGCCCATCTGTGTGCTGTCCACAGGAGCCCCTGGTTACAAAGGAGAGACTTCCGCCCTCTTGATCCCTTTGGACTTGAAACTACGTATGGTCTTTGGGGAACCACCCCATTTCTGTGGGACGCACCCCTGACTGACAGGATGTTTCCTTAGTGATGGAGAGTTTGCCATTTGCACGAGGTCCTGGGTCCAGATCTCATCTTTCCCATACTAGAAGTTCCACAAGAAGTGTACTGCAGAGACGGTCAGGTGGCCCAGCGAATGAAGGCACTTGCCACTGAGCCTTATGACTTGAGTTCAATTCCTAAGATCCACATGGTAGCAGGAGACAGCCTGATCCTGCAGACTATCTTACAACCTACACACACACACACACACACACACACACTGAGGCACACACACTGTCCCACTCCCTCCCACAATGCACCAAACAAACAAATAAATATAAATAACTTTTTAAAAACAAAGTGTACCATGAAAACTAGTAGCCAAAGGCTGAGCCAGGTAAAGATGCTGGAGAGATAGGTAAGCAGTTAAAACCGCATAACTGTTCTTGCAGAGGGCCCAGGTTCAGTTCTCAGGTAGCTCAGAGCTGTCTGTAACTACAACACGAGGGGATCTGTCGCCCTCTTCTGGCCTTCATGGACACCTGCAATCCCATGCACCACCCAGACCCAGGCATGCACACACACACAACACACACACACACACACACACACTCACACACACACACAATCAAAAATAGAGGCTAGAGGAATGGTTTGGTAGTTCAAAGAGCATGGTGCTCTTCCAGAAGACCTGAGTTTGGTTCCCAGTATCCATGTCAGCTGTCACTCCAGCTCCAGGGGTCTGATGCCCTCTTCTACCTACACCACACACACACATGTGGCAGGTGTTCTCTCTCTCTCTCTCTCTCTCTCTCTGTGTGTGTGTGTGTGTGTGTCTGTCTGTCTGTCTGTCTCTCTCTCTCACACACACTATAATAATAAATCTTTTTTTTTAAAAACTGTTAGAATTGAAAATAACCCACAGATTGGGCATTGGTGGCGCATGCCTTTAATCCCAGCTCTCGGGAGGCAGAGGCAGGCAGATCTCTGTGAGTTTGAGGCCAACCTGGTCTACAGAGCAAGTTACAGGACAACCTCCAAAACAATACAGAGAAACCCTGTCTCGAAAAACCAAAAAAAAAAAGAAAAAGAAAAAGAAAAAGGAACCCACAGACCTAAATCTCTCAGTGACAAGAAGCGACTGTCAGCCATACTTTCTTGGGTCATGGCTGGGGCTCCCTGCCCTCCTGCTACCTTCTCAACTGCACTTAGTAGGGCTTCCAGAGCTTTGTCACAGAGTCGATGAAGCTGAGTTGTCACATCCCTAGCTGAATGGACTCCTTTCAAGATCCCATGCCAAATTCAGCATTCACAATGATTCCTTCAGAGGTTCCCAGCATTGAATGCATCAGCTTCAGGCCTGAAGCTAATCTGTGGTGATCCCTCCCTTGGGTTCACATCCTCTTACCTCAGAGCTTTTCTCTCTAAAGAGAGAGTCTGCTTCCCCTTGAACCTACGGCAGACTCGTGACCTGTTTGCCTACTCTGATACAGCAGAAGTGAGGTGTTCAGGGGCCCCTGAACCAAGTTTAGGACTCCCCATATTTCCTCCTGCACTTCCTGCCTCAGCCAGGAGCCCATTGACCTGCTGGGTGGGCACCAGAGACAAACAGTGAAGAGCTGAGCTGCCCTGGTCACCAGCCAGCACTCCCTAGGCATCCCAGGGAGCTGAGCTGAGGGCAGAATGGTCACCCAGACCAAATTCTGGCTCAGATTGTGCCCTTGAATTCGGAGTCTTTCACTGCTGAGTTACAGTGCCATTTGAAAAAAGCTAAGAGCCCCTAGAAGCAAGACCTGCCCATCTGCTCTGCAGTTCTGGCTGTCCCTGACTCCTGCGCACTCCTCTTCTATCTGTCTCCCTCACAGAGCTTGCCCATGGTGCCTCCTGCCTTCCTACACATACCTCCTCATTGTTTCCTTAATGCTGTTCAGATCACAGCCAGTCCTGGAACTGTGGAGCTCCGGTGTCTTCTGAAGTTTAAGTTACAACCATCTGTAACTCCAGTTCCAGGAAACTTAATGCCCTCTTCTGGCTTCCACATGCAGGTGCACATGTGTGCACATACCCACAAACGGACACACACATATACATGTAATTAAAAATAAAATAAAAACTTCAAAATAGTACACTTGCCTAGCTTACTAAAGTAGAACACACTCATTTTAGGAAATAGATAAGATGGCAGGCAGGAAGAATTTAATGGCCCCTAATCTCTCGTCACCATGAGAGATCACTTTAAATATTGAGGTTTATATTTCACACGTCTAATCTTTTCCTAGGGAAATGCATGGTCTGTCCCAGAAATCAGATGGGCACACTGACGTAAAGCTCATACCACCCGACATACTATTGTCTGTCGTGAGGAAAACCATCCTGTGAAACAAGTACCATCAGAAAAGGAAACAGGCTGGGCGTTGGTGGCGCACGCCTTTAGTCCCAGCACTCAGGAGGCAGAGGCAGGCGGATCTCTGTGAGTTCGAGGCCAACCTGATTTACAGAATGAGTTCCAGGGCAGCCTCCAAAACAATACAGAGAAACCCTGTCTCGGGAAAAGGAAAGCGGGGGAGGACAGTGGTGACTGGCTCTAACACTGTAAGGGCCTGTGAGCTGTGCTGCATGATGGAAATGATGTGTGGCTCTGGGATGCTCTGTGTAGCACCCAAGGATTGGCCGTTCTATCCTGCCATGATGGACTCTTACCCCTTTGGAACCGCAAGCCCAAATAAGCCCTCCTTGTGTAAATTGCTTTGGTACTGGTGTTTAATCACAGCCATAGGAAAGTATGCTTTTGTCCACTCACCACCTCCGTAGTCCGCCTTTTTCATTCCTAGATTTCCACTGCGCACACTCTGGGCTTTGTTTCCCTAGTACCTACTTGAGTCATTTGTTCTAGTGAATGTGACTTTTTCACACGTATCTTGGTGTACATCTGCAAAGAGAGCCAAAAGAATTTGCATCGGTAACTTCGATATGGTAAGTGCTCTCCAGAAGGCTTCCTGCTCCCACTATGAAAGCCCACTCCCTAAACACCAGCCGGTGTCAACCATTCTCAAACTACTAGACATCGTGTTGTCTGCCAGATTTCTCTAGCGCTACACAAACAGTATATTAGTTAGATTTTCCTTGTTGCCATCAAAATGCCTGACCAACTTCAGGGAAGAAGGGATTATTTGGCTAATGGTTTGGGAGAGTTTAGTCCACGGCCACTTGGTCCCATGTGCTTGGTGGTGGGGACATGAAACAGAGGAGTTCTGAGCACCACGTGACCAGGCAGGAAGCAGAGTCTGGGGAATGCCGGAATCCACCTGGCTTTCTCTGAGTTCCCTTCCGTTCCGTCTGGGCTGTGACCCAATGGGATGTGCCATCCACATTCGGTCTTCCCAGCTCAGCTAATCCTCTCTGGAAATGCCCTCAGGCACACCCAGACATGTCCTTTAGGAGTCCCTGAAAGCCTCAGTTCAGCCAAGTTGATAATAAAGATTAAACCCCACGCTGGGCGTTGGTGACGCACGCCTTTAATCCCAGCACTCGGGAGGCAGAGGCAGGCGGATCTCTGTGAGTTCGAGGCCAGCCTGGTCTACAGAGCAAGTTCCAGGACAGCCTCCAAAGCCAC